CGTGGCCTGCAAGGCAGAATGGATGGTGATGCCGGGGAACACGTGCCCCCATACCATGCATTGGGTTTGGCCAGCCAGGATCTCTTGTTACCACCTCCCACAGCTCCAATATCCACGTGCATATCCTGGCCCCACCTGGGACCTGGCTTCCAGCAGGCTGGAAAAGCTCCACCAAAGTCTCCAGAGACCTCTGCCTGCATGTGTGATGGTGCAGACCCACAGGTCCCTGCCTCCCAGGTTCATGACCACGTCTCCAGTGTCCTCCAACACCCCCTGGTATATCTACCCATGCATTCTATATTCCAGCATGGAGAAGAGGTTGTTCTGGAGAGATGCTGTCAGGATGCCACAGAGGCACTAATGTGCTCATCCTCCCCAGTCCCAGCAGTTACCTTGGGGAACCGCTCCTTGTAGACATGGTTCATCATCACAACCTCGTTATCAAACGTTCCATTTGTCCGTCCAGGGCTGCGGAGGGAGGAAACCAGTTGCGTTACAAGGTCCAAGTCATTTACATCTATGCAAATAGCTGCTACCCCTGGACAGCGATTTGTTCCCTCCTCCTAACTCCCGATCCCAAGCAGTTAAAGCTCCTCCGAGCGGAGCCATCAGCCTTGGGCCAGCACTTCCATGCATGGTGGGAGGGATGCTGCTGGAGGTCCCTGGGACCTGGTCCAGGGAAGGTTAACCACCCGCAGATCCAGGTCTCCAAACTCAAGTCGCTTGAAAATCCAGAGCTGAGAGGCTGGGGCATCAGCCACTTGGCTTTGAAGAGCGAGCTCATCCTTTCCTTGCTCCGAATCCCACAATTTCTCACCATCGTTGCCCTTTTTGCAGGTCACCAGCAAAAAAAAAAAATCCCCAACCGAACCCCGCGGTGGATGCAGGGACCTTCATTAAACAAGGCTTCCCTCTTACCCTCACCCAGCATTGCCGCTCTCAGGCCCCTGCGTGGTGATCCCATTACGCAAAGCAATTCGCAGGAGCAGCCAGCAACTCATTAACCGCTACGTAATCAATGCGGCGATTAAAACCAGACCCAAGCCGCTCGCTGCCAGCCCCAGCCCAGCCTTTGCCGTGCCGACCGCAGAGCTGGCATCTCCTCGGTGAAAACCTCACCTCCTGTGAGGTACCTGTCAGGTAATTAATCTGATTTTAACGAAATTTCAGCCGGCAAGACGCAGGGCTATGGCTCTGCCTCTGGTGCAGAGGTTCAGGAGCTTTTTCAGTGGGAAAAGAGGATTTAACCGAAACACCCCCTGTAAAAAGCACGAGCTCCTGGTGCTGGACAAGCGGAAACGTGACCGGCTCCTCGCGCGGGACGCGGTCTTGGAGCAGCAATGCGGAGCTCGGCGGGTCCGTAGGGTCAGCTCGCACGATGCTACGGCCACCGGCTTGATGCTTTCTCCAAATTTTCCCCTCTCCAGCCCGCAAATGCCTGTCCACCTGCGCTCCTTGTTTTTTGCAGAGGCAAAGGCCGGGCTGATGCTCAGCCCCAGCAAACACAGGTGATGTTTCCCACCCCAAGCCCAAAACTGGGATTTTTAATTTTTTAACGGCAGGTCAGGCCGGTGGCCTCCCAGCCGTGCCCTGCAAGGACGGCCACTGCTTGGGCTTCTGCTCGGTGGTTCCCTTCTCTCCACTGAAACCTTTGAGATAATTGAGCAAGAAGCTGCAAACCGACTATTTTTGAACAAATCCCACTTTCTCCAGCTTCAGCCCCAGGAAACCTCACTCTCAGGTGTCGTCTGCTGCCAGAGAGCAATGCCATATCCCGCAGCCGAGAAGATGCTGAGAACCAGACCCTAATGCCCAAAATCACGGAGCTTAGGATCATAGAATCATAGACTCGTGGAATGTTTGGGTTGGAAGGGACCTTTAAAGGTCACCTAGTCCAACCCCCCTGCAATAAGCAGGGACATCTTCCACTAGATAAGGCTGCTCAGAGCCCCGTCCAGCCTGACCTTGAATGTTTCCAGGGATGGGGCATCTCCCACCTCAAGCCAGAGCTTCTCCACTCCCCTGCAAGGGGAAAACCCGTATCGGGGTCAACATCTTGGGATGGGCTTAGCAGGACCAGGACACCCCAGGAACAGCTCAGAAGGCGGAGGATGTGCTGGATGTTCCGGCACCCAGTGCATCGTCCCGGCAGCACCACGGGTACTCCCCACAGTGGGTGCCGTACCTGAGGCTCCGGGATCGCGGGCGCAGGCAGGGCGAGTGCCGCCCCTCCTCGTCCATGACGCTCTCCGTACTGCGGAAATGCTTAGAAAGGAAATGCAGCTCGTCCGGGGTGGGCTGGTACGGCAGCTGGTGCAGGCGCTCCTGGGAGGACGAAGACGACTGGAAAGAAGGACAGACGTGGGGGGATCAGGAGATGGATCCGTGTCTCCCGGCAGCAGGGCGGAAACCAGCAAGCCCACGAGGAAAATATTCCTCGGAGCCACCTAGGAGGCTGGAAACACCGACGGGCAGCTCACACTGTGCTCGGTAACGTGAAATATGGACGGCAAGGTCAGCCCGGGGAGGTCTGTGCTGCCCACTCCCACCCCAAACCTCCCACCCTCCCGCTCGATCCAGCTCTGCTGACCCCCCATCCCTTGTACCTGGCATCCCGGGCAGCTCCCGCCCGGCCATTCCCCTGCACAGTCGGGATGCGACTCGTGCACGCTCGACCCCTGACACGCAGGGATGCTGTAACGCCCAGGGATGCTGTAGCGCCCAGGGATGCTGTAAGCCGTTAGCCGAGCTCTGTGGCTTTCTTAAAAGCACACTTGGAAAGCACGAGGCAGCTAACGCACATGGTTCTCTAGGAACAGAGGGGCT